GTTTATTGTCGCAACAAACAATTCCACGAAATATGGGCTAAGCGTTTCGCTAAGGTATGTAAATACATTCTAATGACCAGAAAAAGCTACCAGATATGAACGACGAAAAGAGATGTGAACACTTACGAGTAACATGCCTTTAGCTTTTTGAGAGAGCTCCAATAGTTCTCAAAGTGGCTATAAGCCTTTGTAAATCGAAAATATTTCGACTCGACTTGTATCAGAAATCAGTATTTTGAGTACTCTTATTGAGTAGATTATCGCATCCCTACAAATGCATTCGAACATACTCTATCTGAATATAAAGTCAGATTATTTTATAAAAAGAATTTAAAAAAATGATCTATATTTAGATTTATAATTAGAGTTTACTGATCAAACCAAAATGGATTGAAAACACTATGCAAAATTAGTATTTTGAGTACAATTACTAGGCTAGAAACAACCATGGATTGTTGACAAGAGTCTCTGTAATTTCGCCAATTGTGAATTTGACCAACAGTATACTCGCTACTGACGATAAGATTTTACCCCGTTAGCAACAAGTTCTGACAGCAGATATGTTCGGTTACAAAATTAAAACTTCTCGAGTTCTGAATATGTTATCGTTAGAGATAACAGGCTACCCATAAAATAGACAGTACACTTTTATATTGAAAACACACAGAATTCTTTTGAAACTAGTGTCATAAAGTTTGTGAGTAATCTGTTCTCTCTAATGACAACATATTCAGAACTCGATTTTACCATCAGCATTTGGCTTTGTAAACTATCCAAAACGAAGATGATTAACTGACAACGTGTATCCAATTTTCTTTGAGACACATTTTTTAAGTATATTTGCGTATTCATGAAAAACGGATGCTTTCAAAGTATTTTCATAGTACATCAAAGGTACTTTTAGGACAGTGTATTGTCGGAATGAGAGAAAAAAATTACTTGGCATTATGTCTAAACAATATGTCAACATAAGCAGAAAGTCACAAATCAATCGATCTTATAAAAGATTCTCTTTTTTTCAACAAATAAATCAATGGCCTTTTATTCATAGCGAACACTAAATATGATCGAACTCGATCAACAATAATCATACCAATTAGTGTAATATATTTTAGATCAGAGGTGTATTGGTTCAATTGAACAAACTCATCGAAAAACTTAAATCTGACCACTATAAACAATGTCGTTCAAAAATTCATGAATCAATGTCAATAACTGTGTTTAATATGACCAAATTTGAGGACAAATCGACATGTGAACTTAATGGTCAATTTATTCATTCACAGTTGTTGTTAGATGTTTTTATTCGAATGAAAGGAACAGAAGCTGATAAAGATGAACTGGTTACATTATGCAAGCAATATTATTCAAATAATGAGTCTCAACTGAAAATTATTAGAGAATTTGAAAAAGATTATGAATCTGAGTTCGCCTTGTGGTGGTACACAAGAGATTCATTTCTCTATCGACTACTCAATAAAGCTCTTCGTATAATAAATATTCATCTATTATTTCTCTTTCGATTTTTCATACGTGATCTACGAGAACAACTTCAAGAGCTTCAATGTTCATCCCCTATCCATCTTTATCGCAGTCAATTGATGTCCATAACAGAATTGAAACTATTGGAAAATTCTATAGGACAGCTGATTTCGATGAATTCATTTTTATCAACTACAAAAACTCGTAATTTAGCTCTATTCTACTTGGGTGATCAAGAAGTACCATATCGTAATATGAAACGTGTGCTTTTCGAAATAACTGCTGATCCAAAATTTGCTGGTGAGAAACCATTTGCTGATATCACTACTCGAAGTTGTTTTCTCAATGAAGAAGACGAAGTTCTTATTATGTTTGGTTCAATCTTTCGAATTATAAATGTTGATCGCGAAACAAGTGGAATTTCGATTGTTAAAATAGAATTGTGCACTAATGACAACAAAGATTCAACTACAATTTTAAAACATTTAAAAGATGAATATGGTGGAGGATATGGTGAAACAGATCTTATTTGTGTCGGTCAAGTTGTTCGTCGAATGGGATGTTCTAGTACGGCTGAAAAATATTTTCATCGTTGTCTCAGTTCACTAGGTCACGAAGATGTTCATTTAAGTACTTGCTATTACAATCTTGCTGTTGTAGCCAACGACAAAGGTGAATATCAATCAAGTCTCGAACTTCATCTCAAAGCTCTTAATATTAGAATGCGAATTTTACAACCCAATGATCCAGATCTTGCGGAAAGTTACAATGGTTTAGGCAATGTTTATCGACAAATGGGGCAAAACGCAAAAGCGCACGAATATTATAAAAAAGCATTGACTATTTGGAAGAACATATTCAGCAATAACCATCAAAAAGTTGCTGTTACATACAAAAATATAGGCATTGTTTATTTTCAAGAAGAGAACTACTATCAATCTCTTGAATATCACAGAGAAGCCTTGTCCATTCGCCAAAGTCTGCTTCCAGATAATCATCCTGAATTGGCTGATTCGTATAACCATATTGCTATTGTCTACTGTCGTCTTCGTCGTTATAAGTTAGGATTAGAATATTTGAATACATCGCTTAGAATTTTTCAGATTTCGCTTCCTCCAAAGCATCCATCGATTGCAAAGGCATACCAAGACATAGGTTACATTTATGAAAGGAAGCATGATTTACAAAACGCAATTTTAAATTATAAACAAGCAAGAGCTATTTATAATGAAGTATTGCCTGCTACACATACAACTATTAAGGATCTCGATAAAACTATTCTCCACGTCGAATTGAAACTTAAACATGAACATTCTACGTGAATGTAAAATGATTCCATGAGTCAAATGCAGCTGAAAATGACAAAACAGGAGAATTCGATTGTTCAATGTTAATACTATCGTTGTTGTTTATGGGTCGGTCGTTATCAACAAACTTTTTGTATTAGAATCGGGAAAAGTAAGTGTAGACATTGGCTGGTATGAGCGGCGAGGAAAGATCCATCAGTACTCACGCCCATTTCGATTCTAATGTTAAATGTAATAAAAATTACCGCTATTTATCTTCAATACACGTGTAAAGCGCTTCACTTTTTTTTGTCAACCACCGATTAAAAAAGAAGTTTATTACATTGTTAATATTTTCATTCCAATTTCTAAGCAAGATCATTGCTGTGGTTACCACATATGATACATCTTATAACACGAGCAAATATCATATGAACGAATATAGATGACATGTTTACTCTTTGTATTATCATATATATATTTTTCAAAATCAAAACATATTCACTATACTTCGGATCACACTTCATTATGGTATTAAGAGACGGTCCATGATTAAATCGAGCATTTTCCTAAAAGAGTATTATATGAAAAATTTTGACATATGTTTTTTATCATCGCAAATGAAAGAGCATATAAAAAAATCTATAAATTCAAAATTTTACCCTTCTCTGATTGACTTTCGAATACATATGAAAGAAACAAGAAATATCCCTCGATGAAGATCTAAAAATAAATATCATATTTTTTT